TGAGGAGGGGAAGTGTCTGGCGGCTTTGCCGGGACCGCCAGCCCGCCTGCGTTCGTGGTCTGCGCCTGAGGAAGAGAGTCGGGATGCGGGGGCTTTTTTTCCCCGTCAGATCGTCGTACTGTGAAATGGTGGCGCTTCCCGTCTCAGAACGGGGAGGTTTACTGGGCTCGCTGAGGCTGTGCGTTCGCCTTTGAGCTGTCGCCTTTTTAAAAGGGTAGTTACGAGGGAGGGAGGTTAAGGGGCTTGAGAGTTCCGCCTCCTAGGGCACTGGAGAACTTCTTGGCGTTGGTATGCTGGCCCTGGTTACTAATGTGACTCGGCTGTTTTTTACGAAGTTAACTGGCAGGAGAAACTTTTTAAGATGCCTTGAAACAGCGCTTCCCATCAGGAAGATAACTAGCACAAAGATCCTACTAATGCAAACTCTGCAGTTTTGCTGTGAAGCTAGAATTGACAGGCTTGCAAACAGCTGGGAAGTTTGGGAAGAGTCTGAATTCCTTTTCCGTTCTCTTGAAGTATTCTTGAATGTGCCTTTTATTCAGTAGGGAGATGCATGTTTGGTGTGGACACTAAAGTTAGGAAGCAGCAGCCTGCTGTTTTTTCCTTGGCGTTTTCCCAAGATACAGAGGTGTTGTAATGAGGAATCATTCAGGCAAGCCTACTTTCTGTTGCTTCTGAGAGGTTTTTGGCTAGGAATGTCCTAAGGGCTTTTAGTTCTGGTCCCCGCTTACTTGATGTAAGGTGTAAACTTTGTTTTATTTTTACTTTCGGCAATCTTTCTGTTAAATATGGCATCGGTATTAAGTCTTACGTACCAAGTGTTATCTTTTGGGGGCAGTGCAAGTTGTTTAATGTCACACAGAACACACAAGCAGGAAGCTAGATGCCTGGTGTGAAGGTGCGTTAGTGCTTCAGTTCGGGCTATGACACTTAGCCTTACGAAACAGGAAGCTACTGTCAGCTCAGCTTGGTGATACAGTTTGTTTTGTTGTTCTGAATGGTGTTACATCAAACCCCAGTGAAAACTTTGAGTAAGGTCAGTTGAACTAACTTTCCCGATTGGAGGAGGGTAAGCTTTTTCATCGTTGTTGTTAGGTTGTGGGCTTTTTCATAAAAAAAAAAAAAATTAACAATTTCTGTTTCCTGTTTGAAGTAAAAGGGGCCATCAGGGTAACTTGAGGGTTTTGTCAGTTCTAACTAGAATGTCCACTTGATATCGTGGCCTTACTTCCTCTCACAAACTTGTGTGCAAGGTTGTTGCTTAGCATTTTACAGCTACTTTGCTGTGTCCCAGAAGCAGGGGAATTTCAAGAAATGGCAAAGAAATTAATATAATTCATGCTTACTTGATGGGGGCAGTTGGTATTTTTCAAGAGGTTTGGTTGCTCGCTGGAAGGCTGCTGAAAGTATATCTGTTGGGAAAATCGCCTTTGATCACTGAAGGTGTCGGGCATGGCTTTATAGAAAGGGGAAAAAGGTTTGATGCGTGTCTTGATAACCGTGGAGAAAACAGAGGAGTGAGTACTGTTGCATGCTGCCTGGGAAGAAGCAATTCTTAAAATATGAAGGTAAATAGATGTGATTTGCGTAGACAAAAATGCATGTACTAATTGTTATAATCTGCTTCTCTTTCAGATTGAAGCAAGTGAATTCTGATAAAACTCAACTTTGTTAGAGGGCTTTTTTTAAAAAAAAAAAAAGTTGATCCACAGTGCATCAGAGCAAGTTACTACTTTACTTTTGAGTGACTTACAGGTGCTTGCCTGCATTGCAATAAAGGACTCATATATTGAGCAAGACTTATTTATCTCTTCGTTTCGGAGAGTCTAATAAACTGTTATTACAGTTTCTGTACTGACTTTCAAAGTTTTGAAGTCTAAAAAGACATCTTTAAAAACAAAGACATGAGCACGGCCAGAACAGAGAACCCTGTTATAATGGGTCTATCCAGTCAGAACGGGCAGTTGAGAGGCCCTGTAAAACCCAGCGGGGGCCCAGGAGGTGGAGGCACACAAACTCAGCAACAGATGAACCAGCTGAAGAATGCCAACACAATCAATAACGGCACTCAACAGCAAGCACAGAGTATGACCGCCGCTATTAAGTAAGTGTTTGTATCGGTTGCCACAAAAGTAAAGTTTTGAAGTCATGTCTGGGTTCCCACTTTAATAAGTTTTCTGCTATTGCTTTGTGATGGTGGTGGTTAGAAGCGGCCTGCGATGTGCACGATGAGAAGAAAGCTGAATTTCAGTGTGCAGGCATCTCTCTGATAGTGTGATCTCTGCAGTATGTTCATTGGGAAAGTCAGACTTGACGCTTTGCTTTTCAGGATGTGTAGCTGCTTGCTGGAGGTAGTCTGCCGAGCAGCATCAGCATCTAGTTTTCTTTGCTTTTTGTGAGTGGTATGAGAGGGAAGTTGGAGAGTGGGAAGGAAGTGAGCTGAAGTTTTAAGATGGGAAATGCCACCTAGTCTCAGTCCAGTTGTGTATGCCTTCCAGTTGTTTCCTGCTGTTCTTTCTCACTATGAGAAGTTCTTTAAAGTCGATTCTGTTTTGTCATTGACCTTAACTAGTAGTGCTTGCTCTCCTCGGTGTAACGCTCTGGCTTTAACTCATCAAAGCCTGAGGTGAGATGATATGGTGCTGCTGTTATATTGTCCTACCATCAAAATGGTTTTGGAACTGTGGTAGTAAAACGTGAGCATACCATTTGGAAATTCTGAAGGATGTAGAAGACTTGGATGATACGGTAATGTGCTGCTTTTCTTTTTTTTCCCCATGGTTCCTTCTCCCCCTGAACAACCTTCACTTTTATTTTCTTACATGATTGTTTGTGAAGGAGATGCCAGATGTCGTCAGTGCAAAACGCAATGCTCAGGTTCTTAAAATTTACCTAACTTGTTTCCTTTTTTTTTTTAATTTTTTTTTTTTTTAAATATGAGTTGCTCTGACAAAACCAGTGAGTTAAACTCACCAAATTCACCTTCCTGGGACTGGGGAAGAGAAGAACTTACTGCCCTCTGTACAGTGGTTTTCGAGAGTGGATGAGTTTCTAAATCTCACTGAGAGCAAAAGACAAGACTTGATCAACAGGTGGAGCGTGTGTTTACTTAATTTTATCTTCAAAAGTGTTTATCTTCTCGCATTACTCGTGGATTAAGAATGGATGTTTCCTGGGCAGGAATATGTTCTTTTTAAATTTCTTTTTAGTGATGAAATACTCTTGTGCAGATTTATTTTAGCCAGTTTTTGTTGTATGACTATGTCAGTGTTCAGTTTGAAATCTGTGCTCTGCTGATTCTGAATCTGCCTTCTACTGGTTGACTCAGTGCCCTGAAAATGGGACTTGAGTCATGACTAGATAAAGATTTCACAAGTTCTGTGTGCAGTCTTGGCAGACTGCTGATTCTCTCTGTTTACAGTTTCCTCTCTGTTGCATCCTGCTTAGCTCAGAGAAGACTTGAGCTCGTATGTATAGGCGCTGTTAGCTTTCAGGAGGTGAAAATATTATGTGTCCCAAGAAGCATGTAACCTGTGTCTACGAAAATAAAAATGCAAAATAAAATTATTTAACTGGATTTAAAAAAAAATATTTTTGTTTTAATTTTGCTATAGACCTGGTGATGACTGGAAGAAGACTTTAAAACTCCCTCCAAAGGATTTGAGAATCAAAACTTCGGTAAGAATGGTTGAACTGTGGGAATAAATATTAAATGAAATGTGGGAGAAACTGCAATGGCAAAATATTTGTCCTAAGGAAAGATTCTGAAGCAGCTCAGTTTCTGCTGTTTCAAACGGAGAGTTGATTTTTTTTCTACAACCACTTAAGAGATGCCTCTCTTGAAAAGCTCAAAACCAAAGTTCCCTGTGCATTTCTTACTTGATTAGTGTTAGAGCATGGGACTGATTGTCAGCATCTCTTGCAAGGCAGGTGGAAAGATGTCAGAGGATGCTTGCAGTACTGTACTTGGTTATGAGAATGGTAATGTCTCCTTCTATGCTGTATAGTCTTCCACGGGTTAGTGGGAACTCCTGCTGAGCGGTGCAATGTGCTGTTTGGCCTTCTGTGCAGGCAGTCTCGCACCGAGTCAGACCGATCAGCAGTTGCAGGTTGGGTTGTATGACCTAATCTTATGGATGTTTTTTTTTCTGATTATTCAGGATGTGACCTCCACAAAAGGAAACGAGTTTGAAGATTACTGTTTGAAACGGGAGCTGCTGATGGGAATTTTTGAAATGGGCTGGGAAAAACCATCTCCTATTCAGGTTGTTTACAAACAGACTACTTACAAATAACATTTATTTTGCATAGATTTATTGAAATTCTTATTCATGCCTAAATGTCGGATACTCGTGACGATTTGGGAAAACTGGTGTTGTCAATGGTAGAACTTTGTGGTCCTTTGGGGAAGGCGAGAATTTCTAACACCTTACTAAATCGCTCAGTAGTAACTTAGAGGTAGGACTGACTTAGGTGTTAGAAAAGTTAACTTGTATTTTCCTTCTTGCTCTGGAGGCATTAGCATGTCAATCTTCTATTCAATAATATTCTTCACTGAACTAGTCTCAGTGAGAACAAGGCTGTTCCAGAAAACTGAGTTGCTAGAACCTGCATACCTTCAGTGGTTACAAAGATAACTATGGCTTTGGCACAGTCTTGGCTTTTCTATTGTAAGCATCTAGAAGAAGCATAATGGAGATTATGGGAGAGAGATTAATATGTCAGCAAGTTTACTTTTCTGTCCCTCAGTCTTGCTTTTACTTGTAAGACTTGTTCTGTTAAGAACTGTTGATAAGTACACTTCAGGGGGGCAGGGAGGTTGAACTCTCTTTTAACTGTTCTTTGGAGGCTTATCATGGGCACAGGCCTGCCATGTTATCTCTTTAAGGTCTGAGAAAGCTATGGCTTTTAGTTAATTTGTCTGCTTTAAAACAGATTGTAAGCATACCACCTTTCAAAAAGGCTGAGGGTTCCTTGGGAAAGATAAGGACTGCCACGTGGAAGTACCTGGGGAGCTATTCCTTTGTTGGGAACCCTTTACTGACAGGTTTAACTCCTTCCTGTTGCAGGTGGGATGCTTGCAGTTACGGGATAGTCTGTTCCTGAAACAATCTGATTTCATGTGATGCTGTTAGCGAGGCGAGTTAAATTTGGCCAGCCTGTTTAGCGAGCGTGGCTTACGGTTGCTTATGTCCTGTCTGTTGTTGCATTTCAGGAGGAGAGCATCCCCATTGCTTTATCTGGTAGGGATATCTTGGCTAGAGCGAAAAATGGAACAGGCAAGAGTGGAGCCTACCTCATTCCTTTACTTGAACGGCTAGACTTAAAGAAGGACAATATACAAGGTCAGTTGAGATGCATCTCACTTGTCTCATCAGCCAGGCAACTGTATTGCTCGTCACGTTGCAGGCTCCGGTCTAAAACTGGTCAAGGAAATTGCTCAGCATAGGTTATCTTCTTGTACTTTCAAAGAAAGGTAATGTGGGGTGTTGGAGGGGAGGTGGAATTTTACAAGTCTCACAGTTGTTTTCAAAAGCTTGAAATGGAAAACATCTGCTGAACTTTACTGCCTTGCCCTGAAAAGTGGATTTGGAGTAATAAGCACCTGCGGTGGCACGGAGGGAACATTGAGGGGTGAAGAACCCTTGCGCAGGAAGGTTGTAAGCAATTTCTAGGTCTCATTCAGGATATCCAGAGTGAAACTCTGAAAGCATAAAAGTATAGCTTTCATAAAGTCTGTCTCCTCTGAGGATTAGTTTTTAAGATACGGTGTGTTACTAGCACCTCATGCTGACACTTTGACACTTTTAACTTTCAGCAATGGTGATTGTTCCCACCCGTGAACTAGCCCTGCAGGTCAGTCAAATCTGTATCCAAGTCAGCAAACACATGGGAGGTGCCAAAGTGATGGCAACAACGGGAGGAACCAATTTACGAGATGACATAATGAGGCTTGATGATACAGGTTAGAGGATTTTGCTATGCTACAGTTGCTGTTTGTTTGTGTCTTTCACAGCATGGCAGTGGAATTTCTGCTTGTTGTTACTGCTTTCCTGTTCCAGAATGGGCTACAATGTGTCTTGTTAGCTGTTTGTATGCTGTCATTATTCTCTGAAACTGTTAGTATGAAATGAGGCTGTGAATGCTGGAAGCATTCTTTTACTTGACTTAACCTTTTTTTTTTTTTTTTTCTCCTCTTTTTTTCTTTCTCTAACCTTACAGTACATGTGGTGATAGCTACCCCTGGGAGAATTCTCGATCTCATCAAGAAAGGAGTAGCAAAAGTTGAGCATGTCCAGATGATAGTATTGGATGAGGCAAGTTGCTCACGTTAAATGTTTTGGGATTTTAACACCAAGTTTAAGCAGTGATGTCTCCTCGTTATGCACAGCAAGAAATCGAACTCTGCTTAGAGACGCTCTGAGGTTATAGCTCACATGTTTCTCAGGATTTTCGAGGTGTTTCAGCAGAAGGATTTATTTACACGACTCTTATAGTGAGATTTGCTTTTCCTGTCATCTTTGCAATTCTGGAAGAACAGAATAACAGTCTATTCTGAAATCAGGGAATGCATTTCATTTGTTTTCAGTTGGAGTGTGCTGTGCTTACCACATAGGTGTATATAAAACTGATGGACCATAGTGTACAGGCTTCTGAGTGAGAGACAGAGAAAACAGTTGTGTGACAGCTCTTGGATGACTCCGATAGGAACCCAAATGACTGTTTTCAGTTTCAACTCGGTTTATTTTTCCGGAATTGGATTGTGCTTAAATCAAATTGCTGAAAGCCAGGAGAGGGTAAACTCCCTGTTACTGATGAATCCTGTCTCCAGCAGCTAAATCCCACATCTTTTGGAGGGCAATGTGTGATACAGAGGGGACAATTCCATCATAAGGGCAAGCAGGATGTTCATGCCATTTTGTTTTCCTGTCCCTCAGGCCCCCAGTGTGGTATGAGAAGACTGAAATCTTGCCCCATTCATTTAACTTATTCTTTATTGCTTCTATTGTTACAGGCAGATAAGTTGCTGTCTCAAGATTTTGTTCAAATTATGGAAGACATTATTCTCACGCTACCTAAAAACAGACAGATTTTGCTCTATTCCGCCACGTTCCCTTTGAGTGTACAGAAGTTCATGGTGAGTGCAGATGTATTCATGTATATGTGATGCTGGTGGCCTGGTATGTGAAGTCTGTGAATGAGAGGTGTATAGTTGTTAGCTCTCGATTTTTGTAATGCGTTGAAACTGCTGGTTTAGTCTAAATCCACGTAAACCTGGGGCAACACTTTGAAAGGAGTCGTTGACTTGTGGTAGCAGG